CTCACCTGATTGCCCCAGGTGTGTTATACTTTTTCAGTAGATCTTTCGAAGCTCTGTTGGCTTGTGCCAATACTTACGTTGCACCTGATTGCCCCAGGTGTTGCCCTATTACTACGGCCACAGCCTTCTCTTTTCGAACGAGCTTCTGTTTTCTCACGCTTTAACCGCGGACTTACTGATTTACTGATGTATCACGATAGTGACGAATCATAGTGAAATGATGTTCACACATATCATTATAATTTGTGTACTCTCTGAATTCCAATTGAAAATAATAATATTAGAGTCATAAAATTGGTTTTATAAAATAACTAAAAAACAATTAACCAATGGTTATTATTTGAAAATACATGAAAATACGTGAACACATAATAATAAGATGGACAGAACATCATCATGTCCACCAGCAACGTTTATAGCGGTACGGTGGTAAATTCAATGTTTCCACAGAAAATCACATCCTGTCGTTGTTTAAGTCTCTCCACTGTACGCCTGTTGTGTAGCCGTATCATCTCCTCCAGGAAAAAGTTGTACTTTACTTGATGCATGTTGCGACATATGGAGTCAAAGTGACCAAACCACACGTTGATCACCTCAGCCGCTGAAGCATTGAACCTCCAACCTTTTGGCCCCTTGAGTTTGGGGAACAGGGCGGGATCGTTATTAACTCGGCAGGTGGTATGTGACTCTTTGTGTGACTTGATGTGGAAAGTGTCCACGGGTAGCATTCTATTTTGGAAAAGTTGTGCGTCTTCGGGATTGGTTTGTATGTGTGAATATAGCCCACATGCGTTGTCGTAGAATATCACTTGCAGTAAGTTATTGGGGAAGACTTCTTTCATGAATTCCTGCGTTCATGGTTTTTTGAGAATTACATTAGTTTTTGCCTGGTTGTATCAATCACAGACTAAATGCTACTGTACCTTCACTTTGGGCACCAACTCTGACTTATAGAACGTCTTGCGAGCCAATATGATTCCACAAGTTGACACGACTAGCTGTTCATTGTGCGTACGTTGGCGGGATAGCATCGTTTTTGGTTTTTTTGGGTTACTTGCGCCTCCGTCGCGAGCACCCTCGTGTTCTCGCTCCTCTACATCTTCAAACATGAGCTCGTCATTGTTTAATTCAACTTCGCCAGTTTTTCCAGATAGAAGAGTGCTCGGATCTACATTGAGGCGAGCCCCGGGTCGTGTGAACCTTATGGGAAGACCGAAAAGTGATGTATTTTGTTCCTTGAACGCTAAGTAAGCTGCAACATGATCAGGGTTTGTACACGTGTTGGAACGGGGCGCAGCTCTCTCAACACAAGGCTGGGCTTGGCAGATGTTTTCGAGTATCTTCCTATGCTTTGGGCAGTGGCGGTGGTTTACCTTCTCGAGCGGTATGTCGCAGTAATTTAGGTCGTAGGTAGGATCAAAGGTCCTCAGTTGTAGCTCGCATATGCTACAACACCAGCAACCTATGGTAATCCCATCGGTCACTACAGTCCGCATGACTAATGCAGGTCAAGTACGCTTCAGGTCTTCCCCAGATTTGCGTGAGTTAAGGCAGGTGGGGAACGCACCAGAAGACTTGTCGGTTCGACCGGCGATGGGAGTCAGATGAGTGCATTTGGAGCACACATGAACTGCATCAAAGCTTCCTTCGCATTCCAGCCATAGTAGATGCTGTTTCATAGCGGAAAAAAAATGACGGTCATCTGCCCCGTCGGCATCGCTTTTCAGTCGAAGGCCTCGCGCGTTGGTGCTTCTCATCAGGCGGTGAATGTCCAGGGCCAATGAACAAACATTGTTGCTGAGTCTTTGCTTAAAGTTTTGGTCTTGGAAAAAGTTGGGGTGATTTGCGCTGAGCGGCGCATGGGCTTGGTTGTAAGCCAGTACTAGGTTATGAACAGATACTCTGTACATATATGCAGGTGTACATTTGTCAGTATATAATTGAACCATTTTGAATAGGTGAAATTTCTTTTTACGCGGCTAATGACTGAAGGTGGTTGAAATAGTGTGCCAGTCGGTGGCTCATGAAGTATTGTTGTGTAACCTGGAAGTAACCATCTGGTTGCCCTTCTTGAAGGGAGTAATACTCCCTGGTATTACCGTAACGAACGTAACTGGGTGTGTATGTGGTGTTGCATCCTTCAAGAACATGTCAATATGTTGATTTGGATAGACGCATACTTTAATGTTGATTACTTACGACGGCAGTACACTGAGAAGTATTGAACAGTCTCGATGCCGTGAATGTCCATTAGGTAGGCGTACATTTGCGGCCATATTCTAAGTTTTGATCCAAATAATCTTTGCTCGGCAATATTTTGATGTTTGCAGGTGAGGCAGTGGAGAGTTGAAGGGTGGAAGGTGTGTTCTGGGATGATCATTGAACCTTTAGGCGTATTTGAAGAGGGAATGCCACATTGATAGAATAAGGTGTTGCCGTATTTGCATTTTGGTAAGGCGTCGCGGTAAAGGTACCATAGCTGCACCCAGCTGGAAGATGGTTGACCAGAGTCAAGGCACCTAGTCAGAAACTGCAGGGGTGGGTTGTGTGGGTCACATAGGGTTGCGTCCATGTTTCGCTGCAAGAAGTCAGCCGAAAGAGTCGTGAAAGTTGACAACTGACTCAAAGTGAGAGTTTCATGCAAGATAGGGTAAAATTGTTGTAGTTGTTGCATTAAGTCCTTAACAAGCATTGTCATTGTGTCGTAGTGGTTCCTGAGTGTTGCCGCGTATGGTGTGACAAAAGTTAACAATCTGCTTTCATTTCCAGAGGGGAAGAGGGGACTATCATTGCATATGAGTTGACCCTCAAAAATTGTATTTCAATTTATTTTGTATGTTCATTTTATTTTTGTGAAGGACTTTTTCCGTTTGAGAAGCCCTGTCTGGTTGTTACGATCCTGTAACACTTGGACTCACCGGTGAAAGACGCGCACGAGATGTCACAGATAGACAAATAGTCCTTAGTTGTACAAGCCACGTAGTTCTATTTCCTCAACCGACAATCTATCAAACTAATCAGAACACCCGCTGAGAAGAGCATCTTGTGACACCGCTACCCTCCGTTCCCAAGCCATAGACCGGGCCTTAACATATTGTCGGTTCTCATACTTAACGGACGGTTGAAGATTGAAAACGATACAAGAAAAGAAGAACACACTTTAGAAAAATTGATATTAAGAAGAACAAGATTGAAGATTAAGATTAGTGCTTAAAATAAAAGAAATCAGATTTAGATTAGATTAGAACTCAGAAGAACAAGATTGAAGCTGAAAACAACGTTTGAACTTAAAAGGATGCTTTGTGGCAAGAATATAGACAATAGGATGAACATATCGAATACTCGAGTTTTTTCAAACAGTTTTGTTGTTTGCCATTTTCTCTCAACAACCACATCTTGTCAATGCTTTCACTTTGGTCCACGTGTATGTCTCTGAATGTGTGTCCAGTGCTTCTTGTCCAACTCACGTCATCCTCTACTAATCCATCACTTGAAGCAATAAGGACCGTCACAGCAAGGGTATTACACGATGGCACCGCGGGAATGATTAAGTTCAAAACCCGATTGAGCGAAGTTGCGGTGTCCAGGTCCGCAACTTTTCTCAATCACGGATTTCGTTCACATCTCGTTCACATCTCGTTCACAGGTTTCCCTCGAGCTATCCTCTGCTACACCAATCTCCTTCTCGACGCGTGGTCATATGTAGTACATACATAGAATCCCTTGCAAGTCATCAGACATCGTCCTTGCCACTATGTATTCTGGTCTTACTCTCCAGGTTTCATTGCAGTGGCTTTTGTCACACTGCAAGAAGCATTGTCCCTACACCATTCTTTACGTCGCTCACCACTGATGCTAAACAACAATGAACTTGATGAACCTTTTGAGATACGGACAGGGAATTGGTGGATGGTGTGATGGAAAATATGATCTTTGTTTGTGATCCAGATGATCAATCAGCAAAGAAAGGAGCTTGGCACGGAGTCATGTACAAGGGAGAGTACAACTCAAGGGAAACCTGTGAACGAGATGTGAACCAGATGTGAACAAGATCGGTGATTGAGCAAAGTTGCGGACTCGGACACCGCAACTTCGCTCAATCGGGGTTTGAACTTGATCATTCCCGCGGTGTGGCTACCTCAAAACTGATAGCCTAATACCGGCGTTGTTGTCATGGAGATCTGGCCGAGTGGTCTAAGGCGCCGTCTTAAGGATACTTCGGGTAATCCGGCGGTCTTCGGGCGTGGGTTCGAATCCCACGGTCTTCAGGGTCTTTGTTAGTATAGTGGTCAGTACTCCCGCTTGTCACGCGGGCAACCGGGGTTCGAGTCCCCGACAGAGAGATCATTTTTTTGGCCTTTTCAGCCCATAACGCCCACTTTTGCTAGGCCCCAAGAAAATGTGGAAACTTCGGCATTCGCCTGGTGTAGGAGTATCACCTTTTCAAATGTAAAAGGATCAATGGTCACCTAGATAAATATGTTGTCCCAATGGGGTTTAATACAAACGGGCTGTGGCATGCAGATGTAGTCAAAGTGATTTGCCGTGTTGCTTTGGGTTTGGTTTCATTAATCAGACTTGGGTATGAAACGTACGCGGTGGAAACTACGTTGCGTTTTTGAAAAAGATACTCATCGAGGTTAGATTTTGGATGGGGTCTGGTGGATCCAGTCTCAAAGTTACATTGAGTATTGACGTGGCAGGTAATGGTTGGGATGATGAATATGTCTTATGTTGCGGTTAACAGAAACATGAGTGGAAGAGAAAAAGACAAGCAGAATAATGAGTGGTTAATTTTTACAAGATGCATGATGACAAACCTCCGTGAAGCTATAGACATAGATTTCTAAGAGAGAGACCTGTGTACAATAACATTAAATCCTTCCAATATGCATCACGATATCGACAATGCCGAAACAGTCTCCGGCAGCATCCTTTATTCACTTTTCTTGCCGGGAGGGCATTCATACCAAGTACTAATCTACCCATACAACTCAAAGTTAAGCCGAGTAGTCAGTGTCGAGTCGAATCGGTTTAACGATATCAGTTCCGGCCGCCTTGTAAAGTCTTTCCATCACGGTAGATCCTAGCCCATTCAAAGGGACTTGCTCAACAAAAATTATATCGACCAAACACTCGTCAAGAGAACGCATTGAGGAAAAGAGTCTCTGAGCACTGATCTCAGGTTGATTGATAGGTCCCAAGGCATAATGAATCAGTTCGACTTCATCACAGTCGAGTTCCTCTTCATATGACTTGAACGCTTTCAAAAGCTCCCCATTCTCAATTAGCATGAGACCTATTGAGACAGGTCTGCATACGATGTTTTCGCGTCGAAAATTGGTTGTGAAATTATCAATTAGATCAATCGGCGTAGGGAAAGATTGCCAATTTTGTGGGATTGGAGGTCGAATAAGATTTATGAGAGTCACTTTAGCGTTCGGTGAATAGTGCTTGTATTTCATTCCAGGCGTTGTTGGTTGGATTCCAGGGGCGAGACTCGTTCCATTGCTATTAGGAACTTCAATTATCGGAACCTCGGCAAGTTTACCGGAGGTTTTGGCGTTTACTAAACATTGAGTGATGTCTTCAGCACTCAAACCACCTAGTCTCAAGACGCGTATCCCACCGTCTGGGTTCAAGCCGTCAATCACCGTACTTTCCACACCAACATTACATGGTCCACCATCGAGTACCAACTTGATGCTTGGTTCGAGATCCTTCCTAACGTGTTCTGCTTCAGTAGGACTCGGTCGACCGCTCAAGTTGGCCGAGGGAGCAGCAATCGGAACTCCGCTTAAAGAAATTAAAGCCCGGGCAATCGGATGTGAGGGTATACGCACAGCAACTGTCTTCAGACCACAAGTCACTTTATCTGGTATTTTTGAAATCGGCTGTTCGGAGGATATAGTAGGAACCAAGAAGGTCAGAGGTCCAGGCCAGAATTCATCAATTAAGATTTGATATGATAAAGGTAAAACCCAATCTGATGGTAAAAGACTTTGGAGCATATGAAGAGATGAGACGTGAACGATTAAAGGGTTATCAGCTGGCCTTCCTTTAGTACGATAAATTTTGGATACAGCTATATTCGAAGTAGCGCAAGCACCGAGTCCATAAACTGTTTCGGTTGGAAAAGCTACAAGTTCATTGTTTTGAATTAAAATAGAGGCTGTTTGAAGTGCAGAAGCTGTTTCGGCGCAAGAAATGTGAGGTAGGCCTAGATCATCTTTGCGTTTTTTTGTAAGACCACGAAAAATCTTCGATTCAGTTCATGTATGTAGGCCTTATGATACGGAGACCGCTTACCGTTAGCAAAGGTGATGGAATTAGAGTCGCAATGGAGGACATTTGTTGAGATGGTCTCTGATGAAAGATCCATGGGGGGATGTTGCTCCGACATCTTTGAATAACTAGGAAAAATTCATGAGGGTCAATAGCTTGAACATCAGTTATAAAAGGACAGAATGACTCACCAGTATCCCAACCGATATGTATCGGGAATCGGAATGAAGACTTGAAGTTTTTTTATTTTCCAAAACAGAGTGAACCTCCAAGGAGGCGGCGCCGAGCCAGGGTACCCGCGGGTCGACCTGCACGCATCCTTACTTCTGAGCCCTGCATGCTTTGGCTTCATGGTTCCGCACGTCGCCTGATACACCACCCATTGGATGGAATTGTATCAGCGCCATATTAGTGATGCCAGGCCCACACTGACACTAGCCAGCAATTACCAATTCTACTAACCGCTTATAATCAGAGTAAAGAAAGAATGAGTGTGCAAGTCACCATTTCCTCCGTGGATGATAAAATTTTACACAAACATGCTTTTGTGAAGCTATGAACAATTCTTGACAGACAAGTTTCTGAACACAAGATCAATTTCAAAGATCTATATGCAAGATTTGTAGGCAGACATGCTCTATAAGTACCATCAGTAAGCCTCTCAGACCAAGTCATTGGCGCTAAATAAGTTCAAAAATTCATCAGAGCTCCATTGATGTAAGTACAAGCGAAAAATTTGAAGAACTTTTTCATACAAAAACAGAGGACTGCCAACCACAACACACTTGGATATTTGGCCGTGTAGAAAATGATACAACAGCTATCATGATACACGAGTTCTGATGGACGTTGCAAGGATTGCACCAAGAAAAGCTTGGTTGAGCGGAAGTGATGGAGAACTACAAGTATAAGTCGGCTTTCCTCGTCCAAGACACATTTCACGCACCAACTTTGTATCCTCGAATCATACCAAGTTGAGGCCTTGTGTGACTTGATTTGATGACATACGGTCGAGTGTTTGATTATCTGTATCTGACCGATGATACAAGCCCAGCCATAAGATAGGCGACACCTAAGATCCTAAAGAGTTGTCTAACCCAAGTATGAGATCAACTTCGTCATGAGAAAGACATCAAGTTCTTGGCTTTCTTATTCTTAGATTTAAGAGCTGCCTTCTTTTCCTTCTTCTGAAGTTCTCGAGTCTTGGCCTTTTCTCGCTCTTCCTGAGCCGTTAAAACCATAGAAGGTTTATCCCCTTTCGTCCGCTTAACTAGTTCTGACCAACCGTCGGCTGCAGTATCATCGCCACCACGAACAGGCAAGTTAGCTCGTTCCGTTTTTCGTTTGTTAGTTGATGGGCCCGCTGTACTATTAGAAGAAAATGTTAAAGATGCCTGTATCGTGGGCCGTGATGATGCAGGCAGCGAAGATGGCTGATCAGGGTTTTCTCGGACTGTAGTTCAATGAGGATAAAAAATAACAGTTTGTAATCCGAGAAGCTTGTTGTATAGCCCAAGAAAAGGCGTACGGCGAATCCTTTCAGCTTCAACTTCTTCATGCGTCAAATCTCTTCCTTCTTTGACTACTACAACTAAAGGAGCTTCTTCATCTTGTTCAGGTTCTTCATCCGAAAGCCGACCTAGAGAAGTATGATCATCTGCTTCTTCAACAATTTGTGGACCATTTTCATCTTCATCATCTGAAGATCCGGGACGAATAGGAATGGCAGGTCGATTAGGATCCAAGATTTCTGTTCTTTCCCCATTTTCGTTTGTTCTTCTTCGACTGTTGTGATTGTTATCTTCAGCTGGAGATCCCCTTAATGCAGAGTTGATGTTTGATAGAAACTTTGGTTTGTGATCTGTGAAAGTTAGATCTACTCCAGTTAAATGATGACCAATGGTTGTTCTGTTAGTGAGTCTTGCATATATTATGATATATCGAGAAGATGTTGATGATCACACACTCCTGAATTGATGAGGTTTAGTTTCCTTTGATCGTGGTGCCATGGTCCAATGATGTTGAAGTTGAGGAAGTTGAGGTGGTGGAAATTGGAATAGTTGTGTACCGCTGATCCGACGAGCTCGATATGATCTGCAAAGTCCGACCCGTGGTGTTGGTTTTGGGGTCACCACTTCGGGTTTCATTGAATCCATTCTGAATCTCAACTTCGAGCTTTGTCTGCTCAGTCACTTCATTCATCATTTAATTATCAACCAACCTTCAACACCACAAAGATGGTGATGCTACCACCACCTACGAGCCTTACTTGCTCAGGAAACGATAGCTACAAAGAGTTATGGCGAAGCCTCAAAACTCACTTTGACCGGATCCCATCTGATGCAGATGGCGATAATTTACTCGATATTCACCCAGCTGACTTCGATCCTGAGGTGGTATTAAAGCTTTTGGTATCCATTAAAAACTCATTAGTTGGTAGTAGAATACGAAAAGTCATCACCATGAATGACTCACACATCGTCTCTGTCATACCAGTGTAAGCTCTTGCTTAATTCAATCCGACTTATAACAAATTCAATTGACAGTCTCAAGATCATTGCCATGCATATGATGCAGCTTAGCATGTATTCTGGAACTCACTGGTCAACAGCTCACAATCATGAAGCTGAAGATTGAGGCAGCAGCCATTGTTGGACTTTTGTGTTTACGTATGTCACTCATCTTCCACTTCAACAGCGATCACAATGGTTCATTAACTGACTCATCCATCTATTTGGTCTGGCTATGATATCGTGAACATGGTTCACTGTGCTGCATATACAGCTGAAGATCAGACTGTCTTGGGTTTGTTGAGGGCTCGTCTACCTGGTGCTATCATCCACGCCTTGACAAGTCTGTTGAGCAAATCCTCGATCGAAACTATGATCTTCCATCCTACCCCGACTACTCAAACCGATCACCATTTTCTCAAGACACTTCTCCGCACACTATCTTCTCTCTATGGCGTTATTCAAGATGTTTCAAGCTCGAGGAAATGGGGTTACATGACCAAGTCGCCCGAGCGTGTACATCAACCACAACCTGGACCAATCGTTCATTCCCTCTCGCAAGCTGCCTCAGCATCCTCTCCGATTTGTGAGACAGATCGATTCAACCTGAAGGGCAAAGCTCGGGCGGTCGAAGATACTGCCGATGCAATGTTTATAGATCCTTTAACATCCCAACCACTAGATATCGGAGAGACGGATGAGTTAAACCGCGATTTTTGGCTTATATCAAAACGGAATGAGATGAAAGAAAGCTGCGAACATGCAAAAGTTCAGTTATTGAAATTCTTGGCTCAAGATGATCTTATCATATCTCTTATCTTGACCATCAGTCCAGCCTTCAATCAACCCAATACCCCTGATCCTACTGCTCGAATCTCGTTGTGCGCCACAGCCGACCTTGTGGTTCCATGCCTTCAATTAATTTGGCTTCTTTGCAAAGATACAAGACGACAAGTTCGGTTTGTCAGACAGTTGATGAAAGCACAAGATCCTATCAAGAATGAAGAGAGTCGATTACAAGCTTTGGTCGGATGTTTGAAAGCTTGGCTGGCTTCTAATCATGATGGCGCTGTAGAGTCATCAATCAGAGTTATCGGGGCACTCCTTTCTATCAATGACCCTCCTCATTGGCCTGAAGATCATGATCTTTCAGAATATCTCGATACAATGATTTGGGGCAAGTCCGATACCGAAGATGTCGACGACTTTCATCCGTGGGGGATCGGATGGATCTTATTGACATGCCGCGCAAAAGATGCTAGTCCCACTCTTCGAGCTGCATTGGCCACTAGGTACGTCACCATGATTGATTCTGAAGCACAAGGCAACTTGAGACTGAGTCCACCGCGATCGTTGGACTGTCACTACGAAATTTACGCGAATAGCTCTGTTTGTCTAGTCAAGAATTTCCCGGACATTCGGCTTCGAATTTTGAAACTTCAGATCCATAACGCGATTAATTTGATAGATAATCCTACTCACTCTGTCACTGTCAGAGCAGAAGCAGCTTATGCTCTGGGTCAGTATGTTTTGTTCCGTGTCAAAAACGTATACACATCTGACATTGAAACAATTTCCCTATCGTGTAGCTCATGCTGTCACAGTATCAGAGGCACTTCAGGTACAAGCTACAGAAGCTGGCGTGATCCCAGTATTAAAAAAGTTACTCGACAAAGCATCTGAACCACCGGTTCCGTATCCCACCCCGGCAATCTCTGCTCAAAATGCCATGCTACGCGAGGTTTGTTGTATTTGGCAGTTCCGCTTTCTCTGCCTGATCATCCCTTCAATACTTCACGTCTTCAAGGACTAACTTGTTCCATTGGGACGCGTTTCCAGAGTGCATACTTGGCTCTAGCTTCATTGATGTCCACATTGGACCAACCTCGACAAGAAGTGATCGATCTAAATTTGTTACCTTCGATTGTGAAGTCACTTGGAGATGATTCTGTATTAGTCAGAGCCTCTGCTTGTCAATGTTGTCGAGCATTGTCACGAGCGATTAGTGTTTTGAGAACGAAACTTGCAGATGAAGGAGCTGGACCTCGGTTGTTTGACATGGCTTTTGGAGAAGAAGGTAGTAATGAAAATGTGGAGTCTAATGATGATGACGAAGATGAGGATGCAGTTGAGATCCAATTGAAAACAGTGGCTATGGGAGCTTTATGTAATCTTGTATTGGATTTCTCACCCATGAAACAGGTGAAAGACTTTTGAATTCGGTCATTCATTTGATTTATAAGATTATACTCACTCGTTTTCTGTTTTTCATTGTAGGAGGTTCTGAATCGAAATGGAATTGAAAAATTTGTTAAATCCCTCAAGTCAACTAAACATCAATCATTGAGAGTTTCAGCTTTATGGGGATTGAAGAACATGACATTTTCATCATCTACAGAGCTGAAGATGAAAGTGATTGGAAGTCTTGGTTGGGATGTGATCCACAAGTGAGTGGTTGAAATTTCCGCAAGATATTCAGCGGGTCCTTTTTTTTCGCTCATACTGGCCTGTATACATTCTCACTGATTATCGTTGAGTCAATAGGTTACTAGAAGATAAAAATCCTTCTATACAAGAAAACATCATCTCACTTCTACGAAACGTAGTTTGTGGTGATGTAGCTGATATCGATATCGTCTTCCGACATTTAACTTCACATGATCAATTAATGACTTTACTGGAAGATCGATTAAGTACATCTTCTACTAATCTGAATACGATGAGTAGTAGTACTATGAGTGAAAGTATCATCTTACAAACGATATATACGATCTCTAATATCGCGACTGGTAGTGAACCTCATAAATTATTTATTCTTGGTCGTCATCGAACTATGAATAGTATATATGAATTGATGGTGAGTGATTTCTCTTTACCAAACATACGCTTGGATTACTTTTTCTTACACTGGTGTTCTTGATAGTCACATAAGAATTCAGATATTAAGATTGGAGCTATTTGGTGTGTTAATAATTTATCACATTGGGATGAAGGAACAGATTCTCAAAGTAAGGAATTTTCCATCAACATTTTAAAGTTCTTACTTTGGAAATTCACTGAACCTTTCTTACTTTTTTGTGTGTGAATAGATATATCAACAGTAATGATGAAATTCAATTCACTTGGTATCATTAATAAATTAAATGAGTTGAGTAAAGAAGAGAAATTAGATGTTAGTGGTCAAGCTAAATGTGCATTAACTCAAATTAGAAAAAGACGTCAATCTTAAAACGAAATCGTCTTCTTTCTTGTGGTAAAACTTTACACTCAATGCAATTATTTATTTATTTATCTTGAAAGTACAACCAATCATTTGATATGTTTTTCGTTAAGAATTTTTCTTCAAGATTTCGTTTTATAATTCAAGTATTTTTTGAAATTACTTTGAATGAATTGATTTGTTGTTGGATTAGATTGGTTGTTAAGAATGACATATGACTTTCTTCTCTAGAGTTATGTAACACACAATGTTTAGCAGAATGAGTATAAACTTATCTATCTTACACCCCACATTATTAAACACATTGCAATTTGCAATGAGGCAAAAGTTGAGGATCTTAGTGACCTCCGTTGCTTTTCCTGCCCTTAATTAACTTAAAGTCTAGCTATATTTGTACTCCACTTCTTCCTGCCGTGGTCAAAAACAACACGCGCCCAGGTAAGATGCGACAAGAAAAGGCTGGCGATTGTTGGCGGACGCAAAAGATGACCTCTCTGTCGGGGACTCGAACCCCGGTTGCCCGCGTGACAAGCGGGAGTACTGACCACTATACTAACAAAGACCCTGAAGACCGTGGGATTCGAACCCACGCCCGAAGACCGCCGGATTACCCGAAGGATCCTTAAGACGGCGCCTTAGACCACTCGGCCAGATCTCCATGCCAGCAAACCCGGTATTAGGCTATCAGTCGTATGGTAGCCATCGTCTAATACCCTTGCTGTGACGGTCCTTATTGCTTCAAGTGATGGATTCGTAGAGGACGACGTGAGTTGGACAAGAAGAACTGGACACACATTCAGAGACATAGACGTGGACCAAAGTGACAGCATTGACAAGATGTGGTTGTTGAGAGAAAATGACAAACAAGGCTGTTTGAAGAGGCTTGGACGGTGCTTATTGCTTTGAGTGATGGATGGTGTGATCCACCCATTTTTTGTGGGTAAAAGATAAGTGGGACAAGGAAATGAAAAAGATACAAGTGAGGCAAGGGATTGCCTTGATATGAATGTAAAGCTGTAAACTTCATAGTTTACTTCTCTGCCTTTGCCTTTTGGGTTGTAATGTCTTCCTTTTCCCTTCAGGATGAGATATTTCATGGATTGAAGTTTTTCAAATAGTCTATTGAGCATTTATGATGTAATGTCTTTGATGATGTTGTTGAAGAGGCTACGGAAGAGGTCTATGTATTTAACTAGACCTCCTTCTAGCTTGTTTGTCTCAGTTGTATAGTTGCTGAGAGGCGTAGTATAAGTCATCTGTAGTCCCTTTAATTTTTTTCAATCACCATCCATCAGCCTTAGCCTTTAGAACATATGTATTGGAAGTCACCAACTCAAACATACCATTTGGGAATGCATCTTCAATGTTAAGGATGCATCCCATTTTGGGTGGAGCTTTGAAGGTCTTCCTTCAAAACATCAAAGTACCCTCTCTGATGGTTTAAGGTTTTGTTCGGTATAGCCTTCTTCTGTTTGGGAATATTGTTCTTGTGCATGGTTTTTGAGTTCCTTAATAAGTTGTTCTCTCTTTGTAGGGTGGTTGTCTGAGTGTATGAATCTCAAAATTTCTAAAAGACGTGAAATTTGAGTTCACAATCGGAGGGGTCGTCCACGGCTTTGATGCCTTCCTCATCTGGGGCACAGACAGAGTCGAAGTCTTGATCTTCGCAGCGGCTCGTGTACGTTGAGTTTAAGATCCAGTTCCAGCCTTTTACATTTTCCAATTCCCTATCGGCTAATCCTAAATGGTCGATTTTGGCGATGGGAGAATAACGTTGGTATGTTGGTACCCGTGCAAAGAGTGGTCTAACTTGAACTTCTTCTTACTGGTGTTCTTATCAATGACGTCTTGTAACTTGACAAAGTCTCTCTCTCGGCGCGAGTCAAGTTTATTTCTGGACACCTTTTTGAGCAATGAGCAAATGATCAGACCAAGCAGACATAACTACATGTTACCAGGTTGAGTCCGTACCATGCTCAAGTCATTTGAGTAGTTGAGAGGCGACGCTCTCAGGTCTCGTGCAGAGTGAAAAGCTCGCGATTTCATCCCCGAATGTGCATTCTACAAAAGCGCGTGTTCTGATGCTTTCATTTTAAGCTCGTATTTTGACTAATGGACATTTGGAGTTTGTATATAGATAAATTCACTCCTTTGCTTGGCCTTCATCAGCCTTGATAGAACCGTTATCTTTTTCATATCAGCTTACCCCCTCATCTTTCGTTCTTTACATCAACTAGAAAAAACCCCACCCGAAAAACCCAGCAATCTTGTTCTCAAGCTTAATCAGTAATTCCTCAAATATTCAAGATGCTTTACAACCTCAGGAAGCACCCAGCCGACGTATTGCTTGGCTCCCTCGGACTCCTTCATCTCATAACTGGAGCGAAGATACCAGATCCCAAAGTCCGCCGTAGTCCAGACCTTCCCAGAACGTTTTATCATGGCCGTATAGGAACCGTGGCTCCATCCGAGAAAAAAACGCCCAAAAAACTCGCGAAAAAAGTGAGTCCATGGACAAAGGCATCCGACCTACGTGGCCAGGCGCTTGTAGACTTTTTCGAGTTGAGTTGATAGTTTTACTGCTTTTGGTATCTGTGCAGTCTCTTGTTCGAGCGAGTATCAGCTGACAACTTTTTGTCTTCACGTCATCTGATTTATCATGATGATTTGCACAATTTAGCTTCGAAACTGAAAATGCAAGTTCGCAGGGCGGTTTGGCTCAGTATGTCAGTACTGAGGATGCGTTCAAAGAAAACCTTTTACAAATTCAGGATGACACTGTCTATTGTAAGTACTAGCTATTTGCCCTTTATGACAAACCCTTCAAGCCGCTTATATTTATTTTTCATGATTTTAGTCAAGGTCGACCAGACTCAGCAAGTACAAGGGTTAAGAAAGTCCATTAGAGTTAGCTCTAAGACAGCCTTCTCACCTGGAAGCTTACTCGTCATCGATGTCAAACATATGCCTGTTGCTTGCGGAGCCTGGCCAGCTATTTGGACTGTCGCAAAAGGTAAGCATCTATTTCCATCCTGTAATTTTTAGTAGTTGTATAATATCTAGATCAGTTTGTAGCTCATCGTTCTTATTCTTTTGCTCCATAGACGGAAGCTGGCCAGCTAAAGGAGAAATCGATATCGTTGAAGGTGTCAATTTCTTCACTCAGAACTCCTACTCTGCTCATACTAAAGATGGTTTTGTCATGCATCCACATGGATTCACCAGCAAATTCATGTTAGATGCTGATCATCAAAACAATTGTGGAGTAGACGCAACTGATAACCAAGGTAAGCCAAAAACTTAATCAACTATCTCATTTCGATTGTAACGCACGCTGAATATCCGAAACAAATTGGTTTACTCTGTGACATCTAACAGGATGCGGACTTCGTGATCGACGTTCCGATGCTTTTGGAGAACCTTTTAACTCAGCAGGTGGAGGCGTGTTCATACTAGACTGGGCCGATAGAGCAATTTGGATTAGTACGTACATTGACTTGAGAGATTTTTCCGATGAGAGGCTGTAAAGCTGACAAAATTATTGCTTTCAGACTTCTACCCACGCGATGAGATACCCGATCACATTCGCAATGGAACGCCAGACCCCTCTTCCCCATGGAGGCGCCGCCCTCGTGCTTACTTCACCGACACTTCCGGTCAGGAAACTGGAAATTATTTCCAGGACCATGTGCTAGTGGTGAGTTCCTAATCAGGATGAAATCGTCTCATCATTTTATTCAAAATTGACTTTTCTATGCGCCTTCTTCTTAGATCAACACTAATTTGTGCGGTAAGTGGCCTGATGGGGTATGGTCTGCAGACACCTCTTATGCGGGTCAGAACCAAACCTGTGCAGCAATCACAGGTTCAGATAGTTGTGCAAAGTAAGTCCTTTATTGATCCTCTTCAGACTTTATGATATCTTAGCAAGAAACTGATACCCAGCGGCACTTTTTTCATTGTAGCTATATTTTGAATTCCGGAAGTCAATTAGGAGAGGCATATTGGGCCATCAACTCGATTGAGGTATACAACAATGCTACAAAAGCCAATTCTGACTGATCAATAAATGGTGAATCTTGGATCACTTCTGTTACTATCTTTAGGACACTTTCTCTCTTTGACATTTGTCAGTTGAATTCAATTGATCAACTCGCTTTCTTAGATATTTCTTCATGTCATCTGCAAGCAATCTTTCTTCTTTGGTTAGTAGTCACTTCATCGACGTAGAACTGGCTTTTCTTCACAGCAATCAATATTTAATACCCTCATTCTTGATTATATGTATGCATCACTCAGTATCCAATATGATGATTTGCAAATGATAAGTCAAAGAAGGGAACTTAACTAACATTCCCAAGAGATTTCAACACTCAGAAATTGAACAAACTTCAATATCACGCAACAATGAAGTAAGCTGAGAAGGCCACCGTTAGAACCGAGTCCCGTCTTGAAGCGCAGTGAGCATATCTGGTGTCCTGACGCCTGTTAAGTAGGCTGGTGCACTGTGACTCGGTCAGCCCATGGCATCTGATTCGAGTGATTCTAGTAATGGAGCCACTGATATGTTTAGTCATCTTCCTCTACACCAAAAGATCGATGACTCTAGAGTAGATGGACATGGATCATATCATTATTGGCGACCTTCCGGGAGGCCACTACTTTGCCTCATGCCATTGCCGGTCCCATCTGACTGAGCAGACAAATATCGTGTTCAGCATCCCCATGCCTCTTGGTGGGGTCATGAGCTGAGGAACAGCCACATCAATAGAGTCATAACAGCCTGTAGACAATTTTGTCAAAGGCCGCCAGCAAGACATCACGCGGCACAGTGTGGTTATTGAAGGTAGAGGCCAAGAAAACTGGCGGCCCTGATGATCTGCCCTGAGACGGACAATCAAGTCAAGATCACAATCGAAGCCATTCCACCTGCGAGCGGTTGCTGATGATGTCGCAATTGACTCTTCAAACTATTTAAAGCATCCCTTGTTCTTCCTCCCAAATATGTTCAGTCCAATACCACATCACTCCGCTCCACCTCACTTCACTTCACTATCTTATTGATCCTTTCACAACTCCTTTGATCTGCCCAATTTTTCCCTTTAAAGTGAACTATCTTTCTACAACATCCATCACTTGATCTCATTCGCTTGTCTCTTCTACAAATAATTCTTGGACCCAAGACCATGACCTATCCTACTAGAATAGTGAACTTGTACTCGAAAGCCGATTTGAATGCTTTACTTGGGAATAGTTCAGGCGACTGGACCGACTATCTTCCTCCTCCGTCTCTCGAACGCCGCGTGCCTTCGACTAAGCCAATCTGTTTGACAGCAGACCCGACCAAATTTCGTCTGGACATGGCTTTCAATCGGGATGGACCGAAGAGGGATCACAACAATCGGTTTACCTCTGAAATTGATCCCAAGACGTTGCCACCCACCATTGAGGGACCCCGATCGATCGCTTCAGACATTACTGAACATGCCGGCAAGCGGGAATGGAGGAAACACTGGGCAAAGTGGTCATTTCCCATCCGCAAAGACGCTCCACGCGGCCTGACTTGGGGCCCTTATCATGCGACGCCAGAGGTATCATTGAAACGACCCGCTGAAGACGGCACTTTGTTAGAAGAACCAAAACGAAGGCGAATTTTTACTGTCTTACGATCACCGCAAAAGCCCCTTATTGTCAAGCTGAAGATTAATCAAAAACTCTTAATATCGGCTGATAAGGATTCCAAGATATCTAGAGATCAAGAATCCGTAAAATCTTCTTTTACAAAGCGTAGTCGTAGCGGGTCATCGGTCGTTGGTGATATTGGTCAGATTCAGTCAAAGCGTCGCTGCAATCCCAAAGCAGCACCTAAACCGGCACGCGCAGGCGATGGCAAAATGAAGAGGGTCACAAGTTCACAACTAGCCGAGATGTTTTCACAGCGGCATATCAACTCTCGGACTCTTCACACCCCACCTGTCGCTCTAGTCCGAAAGAGCTCGTGAACGTCACGCTTTCCCCCTCTCAAGAGAAACCGCCAACTAAAAAACGAATCAAACTCTGTGTTAAAAGCCAATTGAAGTATGGCTCGTGACGTATAGAAGGCGATGAGATCGTTTCTTTGGGGCCCGCTGTAAGTTTGAGTTTTAAACTTCTACTTTTGTCTCAAAGCTCTAGCTAATCTCTTGTTATCGTCCTTGAAAATAGTCCGGAAGCCAAGTCATGCGCTTTTGCAATGTTCCTCTGCTTTCTTTCTTCCATTAGTTTTTCATCTTGCTTAGGCAACCTTTAATAATTCTTTTTTCTATTTCTTGTCTTGCTATAAAGCACAGATTGTGATTATTCCACACTTTTTTTGACTATTAGAGTATATGTAAATTTTCAAGATTTCTCTTTTTTATTCTCATTCAAAGGCAGATATCAATTTAAGCAGATATAATAACAGAGACCAATCCTTTTGTCAGTGTGGAGTTGTCTTATTCTTTTTGTTATTCATTCTACTTCAGTCTATTGTTTTCCACTTTGTAGTTCAACGTGTGTTTCTCAGAAATCTCGCAATAATCAAGTTTTTCGCATATTGAATTGTACTCTCAAGATTGTAACATCTTGAAACATTCCACACTTGTACTGCTAAATCACGCTGCTTCATCATTCTTGATCACCTTGAAATTTGAATGTGTATGATTGTGATCAACTTTCTACAGTCAGGCTCTTTCCTGACAACTCAAATGTTATCTACATCCATTCGGACCTTTTGGGACCTCTGAAGTTAGATATCTTGAGAATGGGTTTCGAGGTGGAGGAACTGAATGGCTACAACCTGTGTAGCTCAAAGCCATCCACATCCCAAAATATACTAGAAATGAGCCAGGTATGCAGGATACATCCAACTCTGAATTGCTTTTCGTGGTCAAGTTACTCCCATCCATTGCCACACATTTTGATGATTGGGGCAGTTTTGTAAGCACAGAAAGCGCTTCTTGAGCTGGAGAAATGGGTATTGTTTGGTCATGACAGCCCCCGGGATGCAATTGGGATATGTATGTACAAGACTTTTCTCAACCTACTGATAGGTGTTAGAAAAATATGTGATGGAAAATATTAATCAGAGCTGGTGCGGACTTCCCCGCTTGGTAGGCTGATAACTTGCACGGTGGAATTCAGCAATCCAGATAGCATTCAGAAGGGAAGTGCGTCTAAGTACAGCCCTTTCAAGAAAGGTTGACAACTTTTTTTGGAGAAAGTTGTCTCCGCAGCGGGTAAAACCAGAGACAAAACTCAATTTACAGGTTTATTCTTTTCTGTATTCTTCCAATTAGCGGAGAGACAAAATTGGGTGAGGGACAAAACAGGACAAAACCCGGGTTTTGCACATTGGCGAGATTTACAAAAAACTCAATCCTTGTTGAAACAGCTGTATACCAACCGCACAAAGTGGGCTCATCGGGAGCACCGGAGGATCTGGGGAATTTCCTGGGAACGTGGGACTGGGAATTTTGTGGGATTTTGGGAATCCCGCACCCTCAGCACAAACATACTTATTAGCATATTACATACACGTTCCAAACCATCAATTAATACTTAATTTAACTCAGAAGTAATTGTCGCCTAGGGTTATGTTTGGCCAGGGAAGGTGTCACCTGCTCAGCATTTTTTTCCTTCCCTCCGTGTTTCATAGCAAATTTTCTCTCTCACCCATTTTGATAGCCAAAGGGGCATATATTTTGCAATGCATCCAACCATATTCGACCCAACCCACACACTTGGCCGCGCACGAGAGAATGGTGTGCCCCACCCTCATTCACGAATATTACGAGAAGGTCAATCCCAACGTTGTCGCCCTGCCGCAACCCAAGCTCCGAGGACCCACAGGCCTACGATGTCCAGTGTGTCCAAGTGAAATGGTTTACTGGACCGAGCTACACGATTCCTGGCACATTGGCGTTCGTTTTGTTTTTACATCTGCCCAATCACCCCTCATCTTTATCATTTCTTCAGCACCCGAGTTTTCAACTGACCAAATTGCATTGTCTTGAACACAGTGCCCCACCCCTTATAATTCACACAACTGGAAGACCTGGCGATGTGATCAGCTGAACCATGAACTTGCTCTCATCAACCTTGGCACGCTTCGCCCGATTGTGTCCGTCAGCGCAGACTGGGGCCCCCGAGTTTCCACCAAAGGGCTCACTCTCCCTGACCTCGCGGCGCCACCCCAGGGCGGCCGGTACCATCCTTACCAGTCGAAGCCAAAACAAGATCCAACCACGTCCACCGCCAAACGAGCGGTAGTTCAATGCAAACGCCTTTCCGAAGGAAGCGTCGCCCAAAACCACAAGAAGACAGCTAATAAAGGGTGTCACTCTCAGTACTGCCTCGGAGTAAGGAAGCCGTAGATATGATATGAACTAACAGGCCCTTTCACAAAGTTCCCAATACTGACGTATTGCATTACATCCCAGTGCTGCATTGCATACGGCTCCTCTCTCTGCCGTGTGCATGTTCGCCCTTCCACCGAATCAGCGTCGACGCCCCTTGTACGGGACGATCGGTCTCTCACACCACATCAACTAAGTCAGATTGGATTATCCCAACAGCAAATCACCCAATTAAGGGAGCTGGAGGCAAGCACCTCAGCACACGGGTCACAGTTCCCCCCATCAAACGTACCTGCTCGTCGACCCGCTCCCGCCTCACAAGCTCAGCCGCATCAATGGGCTCAAACATCAAATTCGCTTGGTCGTCGCGTACCCTTGGCCGCCAGGGTCATGCTCCAGAAAAACCGATATGACCGGGAGCATGCAGCCAAACAGCAATCATCAGCTCTCATCGATGAAACCAAAGTAGTAATGATTACTTTGTGGACAAACGTGAGTCTTGTCTTGTCTCTATTCAGAGAGACCCCCATCACTCAATCGCTGACATTCAAATGCGAGAGACCAGTCAGAAGCGTCACAAATAGTCACAGGTTACTTTCCGCTGTGGCCCCTGCTTTACCTCGAACAATGCGAGCTGCTAATCGCTGCGGTAGTCAATGCAATTGGCCCAAAATGGAACCAAGCCCTGAGTGTCTGGAATGAAGAACAGGAATGTTGGGTACGTCCTATTCCTCTTTCCATTTTCCATTTGAGGGCCGTTTGATTGACACACACTGTCGCTGGCCAGTGCGACACACTGGTCAGTTACCCAATTCGGCGCCCCAGTACGTTACGAACTCTTATTGTGAAGCTCCAAGGAGTCCAAGTTCGCATGCCTTTGGTTTTAGAAACCAACCTCCCAAAAAACGGCCCACCCAGCCATCCACCCAGCGATCACCCTGCGCCCAGTTTCACATCACTAACCGAGGCCCCCCCGCGGAACACGCCTTCATCCCCAAAAACACCTTACCCGTCTCAACTTTCTGTCTCTTCCCAAGATGACAGCGACGAGCTAGCACCTCTGGAGCCAGAAGTGAAACCCAACAAATCTTCGATCGACCCGCAAACATCCAACAAATACATCGACTTGACCCTTTTGCCAGATCCCAGATCTCCTACCCAAGAACTACCGGCGGCACCCAGCGGTAGCTCCAGCATTCCCGGCGACGAAGAAGCAAACTCTCTCTTGGCTACCCCCGAGAACGTAGAGTATGTTTTGTTTGAATACTCATCATTTTTCACACTGCAATCTGACATCGATGACTTGGTTAGGACTTCTGACACCCCACCTAAAAGAAAACGATGGCCATCAAGTTCCGTTCAACTGTCCAGTGTCCTTGCTTGGTATAAGGACCAAGTACACGGCTGCCCAAAAACGAAATGGATGGATCACTTTGGCGCTCAATGGCATTTCTCTTCCTCCACCATGTATTGATATTGCACTTGGGTGTGGTTGGTTGGCTACGAGAAGATGTATGCCAAGTACCACTCAAACCCAACGACCACCGTTGCGGAAGCTCGGATTTTTTGGAAGTTTGAGTTCAACAAAGCGGCATCTATCTCAATCAGTGACCACCCTGCTAATGCCAATTCCCAAAGAAAATGAAGTGGCATGTGATTATGTTTGTTACGGTCATAAACGTGCTGATATATTTTAAGTTTTAACATCATATAGTTGTCCTTATGTTGTTCGCTACCTTCTTAACTGTTTTGTCTCCTTCCACATGAAATGCCACCCAAATCATCCCACAGTTCGCGGAGTACACGTGTCCGATAATTCCAGAGGGTTATTGACTCTCCTTTTGGATGTTTCGTGGTCCGATTTCGTGAGATGAGAATGCGACCCGATTTGAATACGTTTCCAGAAGACCACTTTAGGAAGGACCCTTGAAAAATAAGTTGTGATGGACCCTGCTTGATGACGGCAACCAATATCCGTGGACTGGTTGTTCTAGCTGAAGCCTTCCACAATCGCAGTAGGACCCTTGGCCGCTGTTCAGTATCTGATGATTCAATAACTCACCTTTTGACCTCAGTTGAGTATAAGGTCTTCAATGATTCCGTTTCTCCCCATTCCTCCCCAGCATCCCAGCAGACAAAAATGCGAGACACGCGATTTAACGCCATCATGACCGCCATTGTCCCCACCGTTGCACATGTACGATTTTCGCCACTCTCATCAATACCATTGAACTTTTCTTCCCTCCTGACCATGATCACATTGCTTTCCACAGGCCAGGGGCCTAACCCGGGGCTACATGGCATATTACACCACCGAAGCCCAACTCTTCTTGAAAGAACGACCTCATCCTCATGCGACCGAATCACTCCAAGCGATTGGGTGTACCATGGAGTCCGACATTCTCACGAGGGGGAAGATGTATCAGCTCTCAGGCCCATTTGGCCAACACCCCATATCGGGTCAAGCTATGATCAAACACAATCGGTACACACAATGCAAAGTGGGCACCCACACGCCAGATCCCAACAACCTTGCTGGTAAAGCAAGTATCAGTGCTCTCGGCAAGGTTTTAGACATGCAATTCGATGATGTGAACCAACCACTCGGCGGATGGAATCTCGACGTGGTAGCCGAACACGAGTTTGCTGACACAGCAACTACCCCTGGGGTCAGTCACTTCTCAAATCACTTATGCATGTCGTTAGAAACTCAAATGATAACTCCCTGTTTCAGCAATCCCATGTTTATAAATTTGAGATGATATATCGCTTTGGAGTTTATACTCCACTGATCAACGAGTGGCATCAAATTGAAAACGCTTCGGAAATTTTGTTCCATGGAACGCTACACTCCAAAGACCCTCTCACAGGTCGCTTCATTGTACATGTGCGTATCACACCTCCTTGGTAGCACTTGTTCATCAAGCCTGACATTGCCCATCTGAAACTTTCCGCTTAAGGTCAACAAATATGCTGTGGTTGCGAACAAGCCCAAGAAGGTCATTGTCATCGATTTGGATTAGCTTTCGTCTACATGTGCTTCCCCAACATTCAAGCTCCCCCTGCTACGTCGGCATGCTGACTTGTTGAAAGCAAAGTCTACCAGTGTACATACATATGATCCCCTTTACCTTTAGTGAGATCATGAATGCTTACATTTATGCAACTATACGCTGATTGACAATGCAATGAAGAGTGCGGTTAGAGCCAACTTTCAATGATTTGTACATCGTTTCCGGTGAAACATTGAGAGCACTCCCACTCACTCACGCAACTCGAGCAAATCCCTTCCAATGGATCAATTCTCTCATGGATAACGCATTTGATTGATCATTCCACTTATTCAAGCACAAAACTGATTCACTATACAACGTTGATTTGTTCGTATGTTCAGTGAAAGGTCCAAGAAGTGAATTCCAAGATAATGATCACAAGATAACGTGTGATCATTATCTTGGTCTTCACTATTTAGTGAGCACTAAACATACCCATCCCCATCAGCACAGTGCCCCTTCTCCTAGAAACTCCATACCCTTCCTTCGGTCTAATTTCTTGGTCAACCAAACATTGCGCAAGTATACCATTTCTTCCAGGAAGAAATTGTATACAAGCGAGTGCATATTACGGCACATTGATGCAAAGCCCCCATACCAGATGTTGGTCAGCTCTCCAGCCGAGGCGTTGAAAATCCAACGATCCCCCTCTTGAATATCAGGAAACAGGTGGGGATTGGTAAACCGCTTGCAAAAGACATCTGTACCTGTGTGAGAACGGTGGTGAAACGGATCCACAGGAATGACTGTTCCCTCGAAGGACGATTGATCCGTTTGGCCTGTATAGATGTGTTCTGTCAATCGGCAAGCATTGTTGTAAAAAACCACCTCTGGCATTCCGCGAGGGAACGTCTCTTCCAGAAATGCCTGAAAGGTGAACCCAACCCAACTAAATTAGGACGTTTTGGAGGAGGACATTGGCCATTTGAAGACTGACCTTCACAGCACTCACAGACTCTGCATTATAAATTTTTTTCCGGGCTAAAACAATACCACATGTTCCCACAACTAGCTGATTGTTGTGGGTCCTGCTCCTGGATAGCAAGTATTTGCCTGAGGCCTGAGACTCCCCGCCATCGCGAGCTCGTTCATGTGCCCTTTGCGACTCGTCAGCGTGTTGTAAGCTGTCCAGGTCTTTGAATTGCGCTGTTTCTGCGTCCAGATGAACCATGGGATCAGTAGGAAGATTGGTTCCAGGACGGTTAAGAATCGCAGTGAGGGAGAAGTTCCCTTGGACGCGTTTGTTGAAAGTCGCCCATGCCTCAATGTGATCCTGGTCATCACACGTCTCAGTATCCCCAACCGCTTTTTTCCGGCAGGGCTGTGCTCGGCATAGCCCGCCGATGAGGATAAAGTGTTCCGGGCAGAAGCGGTCGTTTATGCTAGCTAGCTTATTTGTGCACGGGCCTTCAGGGGGCGGACGGCCTATCGATCGAGCAAGTTCTTGCAGTTGCTGTGTTGAGGCACTGCAACGCCAGTGCCCGATGGTGAGGCCATCGGTCACGACGGCGCGGATGGCTAAGATGGAACCAAAAGTCCACTCAATCCTTGGAAACCAAGAGACGCAAGATTAGAAGTTGAAGGTATTACCTTTGCAAGACTCTTCCCCGGATGCTGGATCCACCTCTGATAACACTCGGACACATAGGGAACAATAATGGTCACGGAACCTAGTTCCTTCGACTGATAAGAGTTGCAAATGATTTTCAATTGCCGAGTCAAAGCGGATTGTATCGTTGCCACTCGAGGAGACTGCGAGCTGAGTGCCTCTTTGGTCCGAGTGGGTCATTAGAGAATGAAGTATGAGCCTGTCTCGGCATACTTCCTCTGACATGGAAGGGGTGAATGACTGGTCGGCAACAAAGGTTGGAATCGGAGTCCCATCGACAAACACCTCGTTGTACCAATTCACGAGATTAAAATGAGACACACTACGAGGTCACATGATCCAAATTAGTTAGCGAGACATCGAATATCATCATTTTGTGTGATTATGATAGCACTTACTGAGCCAACATCTGCAGAACTCGGAACATGAATGCCAACCGCGTAGTCATGTAATAATGACAGTGGATGTGGAGAAAGTGTGTGTTGCGGCCCATGTCCGGTGAGTAGTAAATGCGGAGGCCATCTTGAGTGTAGTAGCTCGGCCTGTAATAAGTCCCACAGCGTGAGTCTGTTACGGGCCGTCAGTTTGGGGGTTACTAGTGTCTGATTATAAGGAAGGTATCATACTGGAGCAGCACAAGATAACAGTCTGAATCGGGTGGGGGCCATCGATGTCATATAAGTATCCGTCAATGCGCGAATGGACGTGCAGGGTTGACTTTTCCTTACATATGTCACAGTGCGACAGTGGAGCCCGTAGAAAGAATTCAGGAATTTTCGTGGTGAGAGCAGGTGTCAGACCAAAGTCGCGGATTGCAGCAGCGGAGTCGATCAGACATTCAGGTAACAGGTAGAACAATATAGTCCATAGATGAACCATCGATTCGTCCAAGCATTGAGGTTGCAAAGCCAATGAGAGGAAGGGTATGATGCTTGTTCGGGTTGGTGTGAGGGCTAGGGAGACGCCTGCGGTTTTCTGGACCTTGGCGGCCAGTGATGCGAATCGCACAAAGTCGCCCACCGTGAGAGTCGCCGCAAGCTGGGGACAATCCTTGTTCATAAGGCCGACGAAGTCGCGTAGGAGCATTGACATGGGTAGAGGTCACGATGTATAGATAAACGGGTGCGTGGTGAAGAAAGATGGTATGAGCCAGCAGGGTAAGGTGACGTGATAGGTACGCCTCCAATGGGTACGAGTACTCACACATGTCACTCGTCGGGCAAATGCATTTGCCAAAAAGCGATAAGGTCATACTGTTTGGACAAAAGGTTTTGTCGGGAAGGTGAAAAGGTAAATTGTGAGGTGATTTACACATACCAGCAAAGAGGTGTAAAGCCATATGTCATGGCATTAGGGTGGATTCCCAGGATTCCCAGCGCGCAGCGCACCCATCCCCAGTTCCTCCGAGAGCAATCGAAGGGTTGCGGAGGCAGAGAGCCGGCTGCCATGAGAGCCGGCCATCATGTCCCACACCCCAAACGGGTAATACAAATGTCCACAATGGGACTGTACAAACCGTCGTACACGAAAGTCACTAGACCAAAAGGTCAGTGGTATATCTCACAGACCCGTTCATCCAAGCGAGTGGTTCCGATCGATGACCGGATGACAACCACACCGTGCCCGCGACGATGCCATCGCCAAACTCATCATAAGCAACACCGATTTGATCATAATTAACATAGATTCGAACCGTGCAATGCATTGGAAGGACCAAATTAAAAGATACGGCGGCGGCATATGCACAGCAGAGGACGAATATAGACAAACACAAACTACCAGTTCGCGGTCGTGGTATAAGTTGGTCAAAAGGATGTATAATAAGCAAAGATATGCTTCATTTTAATCAGTAAACTTTCATCTGGAATTACACCTCATGCCGCCAATCAGATCATACGCGGAATTCCCTATTAACCCGGTGAAGCCCAATCAACTTTTGCCTTTACCTGGAATGACAAAACAAACCGGCTTGCTCTGCCCCTCCTGCCGCAAACCACACTCCACATCCTACTTCACCCCCGCTAAACAAGGACACGAGCCGCTAATTGGCGTAACGGTGAGAGTTATTCCAACATATATCGAGTTTATTACGTCCCCTTATAAAATTACTATAGTGTCGTGCATCCAGATACATTCGATCTTATAGCCTTGCACAAGCCAAGTCCGCTGTTATCAAACACAATCTACTGCTGCAACGCCGTGCTGTACCATCTAGTACTTTGACTCAGGAACAAGCCGATTACAATTACGCTATGCAAGTATTGCAACTCATCAACGGCGACATGCCTGGTGCAATCTCTTCCAACCAAAACAACGGGCGAAAAAAGAAGCCGTCCAAGCCACTACCTACGGACCAACAGTGCTCAGGATACCTTGGTCAATTTGCTACTGGCCATACAGCGCACAAAAATGCGGGATGTGCCATCCAGGCGTGCCGTAATGTCAATATCACCTCATTCCCCAACTAAAATTGATCGTCTCGACTGACTAAAAATGATTTTCTTCAGTGCTGCGAACAGCTCAAGCCTTTGCATCTACGCTGCTCCAAACATAATGCGATGACGAAACCCAACAAGGCTCCGGTAGAAGCTCGTGACGTGGGAGTTGCAAATCGGACCATTACACAAACCCCATCTAATCAACTACGTGCTCGATCCCCCAGCTCAGATTTTGGAGATCAAGACGACATCGATCCGATTCTTACCCAAGGCCCAACCCCAACTCAGGCCCGACCGGCCACCCAAGCCGCGCAAAGGTTTGCTAGCCCTTTGACCCCAGCGCAGGTTAATAGATTTAGAACGACGACTATCCAGAAACAAGCTCAGGAGTGTGAAGACAAGGATAACGCTAAAGTCGCCGAAAACACTGTGACATTTGTTGTTTGGGCCGGGCTAGATGTAAGTACGATGTGTAGTTTCAATTCACAAAAGTTTCATCAAGCCAACTTTGTTTATCTTCTTATTCAGGACGACCCTTGCGGATTTGAGACTTGGCGTGTGTACGCTCCACGATGGCCTAACTTGTCACTCAATAACTCACACACCTTGATGGAACAAGTACGGAACAAATTTGGAAACGAGTGGAATGGAGATCTCCGGGTGTGGATACCAGACGAGAAAGCATGGGTATGTTATGTCCGCTAGCCGTAACCTTTTATATAATCAATTTGACCTCATACTTCCTCAACAGGTCAAAATGCAAACGTCAATAGTTGAACCGTACAACCCAACCTATCGCCGCATCCTCATTGTGTTTCCAGGGGTCAACATCGCAACATGCCAGGGAATGGAAACAAATTTAGAATCGGTTCGCACAATGACTGTTGTTCAGAAAATGGACATGAAATCAATATTAAATACTGCAGCATATACTCGATTCAAAACGCCATCGGCCATACGCCAAGCGAATATGCAGATAAGTTTAATTTCAGACAACAAAGATGAAGTTGAAGGTGATGAAGGTGAAGTCGAACAACTGAACATGTCCAGCCCTGACCTACCGGAACCAAATGTTGTAGAAACTTTGATTGCCCAAAAACCAATGGCGACTGAGCCGGCTTCATCTTCAACGTCAACAGCCAATGCTCCAGAGGCAGTTGCCCAACCAAAAGACTCGAAGGCAGGATGGCCTACATCTCCTACAACCATCACGATGAAGTCGCTCCAAAGGTATTTGACACTCACGCTTGCGCCTCTCAACCTTACAAGCCAGTTAGCTTTCGCTCAGGAGTATGGAAAGACGCATGAATTTACTAAGTCCACGGTTAACAAATACCACAAATGGTTAAAGGATTATGTTGGAGTTCAACGGCTATCCGAATACGTCCAGCAGCACCCCAATCATACTGTGCTTGATGGATTGGACTTTTTTAGACTCGAATGGCAGGAGCTCGACAAACGGCGTAAAAAGAACGCCACTCGCGCGACTCGTAAATCGCCGGAGTAGCTTAACTTCAACATTATTGCGACAGTTTATTCATTCATTAAATTTCTCTTATATTTATGTCTCATATTGCTATCACGTTGTTGTGTTGTTATTCTATATGTTGTGCCTTTGTATATATATATATGTTATGCTATGGACCTAGTGTAAATAATTTGATGACTAATAACAAGTGTTGCTTTGATGCCTGAGACAAACAGAGCATCACTATAAATTTATTCATACCACAATTCATTTACTTCCTACGTAGGTAATCTTCATCAATTTTCACTAAGTTTGTGTTTCATGAAGGTCAGCCTAATAATGAATGCAAGTGTACAATCAGTGAAACGTGGCCGAATGGCCACGGATCGCAGTACAAAAACAAAATAGCCTCCGTGTGAGTACGAAGAGAAAACCAAGTGTTTGCCACTTGTTACCTAGGTCAAAGTGACCAAACTGGCGTATTCACCGTGTCAATAATGCATAAGTTCATGTTGACCTCAAAATTAAATGAATATCTTTTGTATAATTGATGTCCGTTGCGAGGAGAATAATAGGACATCTCCAGTACTCCTATCTACTGCTAAACCGTCCTCTTCCAAATCATACAGTATCCTACACACCATGCTCAACGATCATGATGATCATGAAATAGATAAATGTCAATCTACGAATCAATCTACGCTTAAATCTAGTGTACCTGATAATGAAGAAGTAACAAGTACGCACGTTTTATCCCATAGGCATTAAGCGTCCTGACTAACACTTCGTTTCCGCATTTCCAGCGGGAACGAATGCAACCAACTGTACTATGGTCATAGAATCTGATGAACACGACATTGGAACAATTCATTCTACACTTAAATCTAGTGCACCCAAAAATGGAGATGTGACACGTACGAAAACCTTTTCAAGTAGGGTGTAATGAGTGAGCCACCACTTATTCCTTTCTGCTTTTGCAGCCGATCAAATTACAACCGCGCCATACTACGAAGAGATTGAAGATCTGGCTCGCAAAGATGAATGATGCATTTACCGGCTGGACGCCATGAAGTTCCGACAAGAGCAAATGTCTTATAATCAAGAAGAAAATATAAACATCAAGAAAGACAATGTTGTATACACGACTGGACAAGTAGTACAAGTAGTCCAATCTGTTTTGGATGACGAATGGATAATTCGTCTTATGTACCTCAACCATTGAGAAATTCAAGGTCGTTATTACCTCAAGTTTCACCCATCATGGATAACAATGGAGTCCCAAGGTCGGGCACAGTGCTTTGCGCGAGCGGAAAGCAACCGTTATGCTGCCTGGGCATTGAGACATTTTCAACATACGCTTTCCCTGAAACGAAGGAATAGGAGAGGCCGTATGGTGTCAAAGTACCAACGATGGTACTCCCTTTCATTATCATTGGTAGTAAGCCCTATATCTCCTTATAAAAATAGTAAAATGAATATTGATTTTAATCTTTCAACATTGATCCGACCAGGTTCAACCATGTCATGTGATACAGTCAGCTGGTACAGGTTATAACGACGAACCTCGTTGGCGGGTATGTGAGAGGCCAACTGACCATAGTCACTCGTATGTTCACAAAACAAACTTCAACAACAAGCCGGCTGAGCGTCAAAGTTGGACGTCTCTCATCCATGCGTACATTCACTATACATACGACCTAAGTGATGACCAAACTTTGATAGCCAGACTCGATTGTGACGAGCATGGTAAGGTCAGCAATTTGGAATGCTTTGTCCGAAAGTACGTTATGTTATTTAACTACAGTCTTCATATCATATAGTGGTGCCCTCATCTTCTGAAACGTAATATCTTGATAGCCGACCTCCGTATTACAGTCGCGACAACGCGACCATGGCAGGGAGAATGGAACACGTGTTTCAACGTTTTGCTGTGCAACATGTGTGTAACAAGATTTGCAGGCACATCGGCAACATCCAATTATAGTTGTATGAACTAAGTTTGTTTGATATTGATACGATGTTTGTTATTTTCTATTGACAATGTTGTTGAATATGCATCACTGAGTGCTACGCGTGTGGCCATTGAAGCTTGTTTGTACTTCCCAAAGGAAGACGGCAAATTTTGTAGTTGCAGTATTGTTTATTTATGTTTATATGACTCGTACCTGTGTGATTTTTCAGTTTCAATATTAAAGACATTCTTTTTCTTTTATGATTACTGCGAATCAATACTATTTCTTTGGCGCGTGATTTCTGTCGTCCAAGCATTTATGATGCATCCCTTGATCAAAGGTTTCAAAATAATCAAGCCTCACAGATACCCCGTATCGGCATCATCAAGCTCCGATAAATTAGGTCGTAATCATAAATATTTATGATATCCTACATATATGTAATGCATTGTAGGTGATTAGACGTCATTTCCGGCGCCGGCAAATTACCACAAACCATAAGTCATAAGATATGGATATAGACGAATGCGTCTGGTAAAGGAAGGAGCAAAGGAGGCCAAATACTTATGTGTTTGTAATCAACAGAGGTTAAAGATATTCTTCGACGGAATATCTTGGAGGCGTGGTATAGAATCAGAACGAAATAGTTCGATATGTTGACTATTTAAGACATCCATGAATTTCCACTTCTTTCCTCGATCATCCTCCTTCATCATCTTACACCGATCGTATCATTTTTACACCTAGTACTATTTCAGATACCCTTATACAACGTTGGTATGGATATACCAGACCGTCAACAATCCGAACTGAATCCCATCCCAATTCCTGATAGCGCGGTTGCTGAAGTGAAAGCGGGTAAAGACCAGTGCTTTGGATGTGCACTCTTTGGACACATGCAGCAACATTGCCCATCTCGCGCTTCCAAGCTAGGTCGAAGCGCACGACCATACAAGGATTGGCGACACGTAATGGGTACACGCAAGCTTTATAGTGTCAACGTTTTGTGGCCTCCGGCCCCTGTGGCTACACCTATGCCTGTTGTTCCTCATCACATGTTAGTACGAAATGTATGAAATCATTATATAACTGATGCTGTGCTGACGCATAATATTTTCAGGCCCCAAGATGCAAATGCTGTGTAAGTTCACAATGAGTTGAATCAATTCGTATGAAAACTACCAAGCTAATGTACGACACGCGAACAGCAACTTAGGTCAGCCAATTGCCGAAGTGGAGATTATAAACGGGAACGATGCTGTTATCACCGCTGTGGAGAATTCCGAAGTTCACACCGCCGTGGCAAATGCCAAAGTTGAGGTAATAGAGGTTATACACGCTGCCGACGCCGTTCACACCGTGTAAGTCTCTATTGACTTGAATAAATCTTTGTAATAAATCGACGTTGTACTAACATACGATCTGATGACATCAGAACACCTGATGTGATTGACTCAGTAGCTGTTCTAAACGTGAACAACGTCGATCATAATCATGAAGCTGCCATGATGTAAGTCATGTCTGTTGCTTAATGTTATCGTTTCTTAGTTGCAGAACTGACGAATATGTCTCACCCAGCAAGCCCAGTGACCAGCCGATCACCGGTTTAACCGAGATAATGTGCGCTACTATTAAGATGCTATGGCTGATTGAAGATAATCTAACTTAACACATGGAAATATTTTTGTTTAACAGGCTTTTTGACATTGAAGCAATGAACTTACCCGGTAACCCAATGGCCATTGATTCACACAAAGCGTTGTGAGTACAAGCAAACATTTCGCATTCTGCAGTGTCATTTAGTTATTGGTTCTAATACCTGGTAACCAACACAGCTCACCTGCTGAAGTATCGATCATCGCCGAGAATGCCATTACGCATAATGGTTTATCCGAGATAGTGTGAGTTACTATGCTATGCGGTGCGAGGTGCGGTTCCATTAATTTGCAACTAATGTGAACATTGTGTTGTCCCAGCTTATTTGAAGGTGACAACACGATCAATTTAGAGTCACCTCCGATCAACCATATACACGAAGAGGAGTGAGTTTCCTGTCGAGACATATCGCCACGGTGGTCCTAATGCTCGATATCATGTTATTACTAGGGTCCAAGACATTGAGCCGGAGACGTCATGTGGACGCAAAAGGCCGCGTGTAAATTATCAATTCCAACGATCGGTGCGATCGAAGCGATCAAAGTCTTGTTCATATATCTGCCTCAATTATGACTACGTAGTTTAGAACACTTTGTGAAACCTTATACACGCGGTAACATGGCCTATACTATATTTCTAACCGCTGGCCAAAAGAATGTGTGCCTGTAATTTTAATCCACCCCATATATATATATAGTATATATATAGTATATTAGCTGAAGATATAATATACGTTTATCGGAATTTCTTCGACTCTTGTATTTCACTTAATGTAAACCCATTATGAGGATCCATGTATAAACACAAGCGATCCATCAACTTGCGTAAATACGTCATCTAAATATCACATCCATAAAACACTCAAAGAGTATTATGATGTGGTTATTGGTGTAGACTGATTCTACCTCTACCGCAATGTGACGGTGACCACTTATAAATAAGTGGTCTTCGTATTGTTTCCGGTCTTTGTATCAACACGTGGTCTGTATTAAGTTCTTGATTTATACAATGCCTTCGTGTAGCGACGTAGATAAATCCTCCACATCCACATCCGGCCTCATTTCCACCTCAGATCATAGTTCGCCTGCCAGCTTCGATGTAGCATCTGCTTCTTTGACCGCACCTACTTCTTCAAATGAAGACCCTAACGTCACCGAAGAAGGGTATAACAATCGTGCATGTGAAGGAGGTCAGGACGATCACGATCAAGATCCAAAAGACCCCAGTCAAATTTGCTCCGACCGTAAATCTTACATCAAACCAAAAACCTCACTTACCAAAACGAATCGTATTGCAAGTGTAGGGGCTGTTGGTCCTCCTGGTCGGGCTTCAAGTAAGGTCAGGGCGGTGCGCGCTAAGAGGTATAACCAGGCAGAAGGTTTGTGTGAAACATTCATATTTACTTATCACGACGAAGTTCAAATGCTAAATGACCATATTATAACCTTCCGTTCCAGAGGTGCCAGGACCAGGTAGCATCACGCGTTTAAGCATTCCAGTGCGTACCTCGGCATTGCGACCCGATTTCCCAACCAGACATGCCGCTTTCTTGTATCACCTGAATGGCTACTACGGCGATGAAACCAAACCCAGATACAAGCCGGATAATATAACGGGCCTGTCTGAGTCTGTTGCCGTATATCAATTAGGTAGAATGTGTGATTTGTCATCAACTCGAGATGTTAATGAATGGCAAGTTACACTACATCAAATGTAATCTTTACCGGGTGGTAAAGAAAACTACTGACATAGAAAAGTCCTGAGGCAACAGGAAGAGAGCTAAAAATCTGAAAAAGTATGCACCTTGTTCCTAGATGTTGGGGCGTCATGATGAGTATTTTTTTGTATTTTACACGCAGATATTGGTTAATGTACTAACAATAAAGGCTGAAAATCATCAAAAACCTACCTGTAACAATACCTGAAATTTGGCCCTTGATTTTGTAGACAGGATTTTGAAATCTTCAAACATCAATAACTTTTGCAGTTCTGAATCAAATAACTCTATTTTTGGTTCGTTGAATACGTGAATCTTT